ACATCACCCTCCATCATTTACTGAATCCCCAATATGTACTACATGCCAAAAAATATTCACAGTTAAACATATACTGCTTGAGTGTACAAACTTGAATCAAGTGCAGAAACAATATTACCAAATAAGTAATTTGAAGAAACTCTTTTTGGAAATAAAACCATCTAGGATACTAGATTTTATAAAAACAATTGGAATGTACTCAAAAATATGAGTGGCCGACTACTACTGCATATATATATATATTCTACCAAACTATGCTAAAATCCATTCCAAAACAGTGTCTGCATTAAATGACCCACTGAGGTTGATATGTCGTAAGACAAAATAACCAACCAATTAGTAGGCCTTAAAATATGGTAATTGTCTTGACCAATTACAATTTTTCTTACCCCAATTACTTTGGACAACAGATATTTTAATAATTTAACATGAGAAAACTGGATACTCTGTGAACCTGATGGATAGGCCAAAAGATGGATTTTACCTGATACAGGTGTGCTTGTGACCAAAAGAAAGCAGCAAAGTGGCAGTGTGGTGATACTGTCTGGAATAGTCAACCAAAATATTACTGGATTATTCAAAGTTGATGAACAAGTTAAACTGAACAGTGCTATCTATTGCAATTTCATGGACAAAATTTTCTTTGAATGGTATAAGTCCCAGCCTTGCAGTTTCAAATTGAAGTGTGTATTTATGCACAAAAATGCTTATGTACCCAAGGTTACCCGTGAGTCTTTTAAGTGTAAAATATTTACAGGAGAGAAGATAATGGAATGATCACCATCATGTCCAGATATGAATCTGATTGAAAATCTATGGTCAGTTGTGAAGATGAAGTTATATGACAGTAGCAAACAATATAACAGCAAAGCAGACCTTTGGGAAGCAATTAAAACTACCATGGCGGAAATTGAACCTGCTGAAGTAAAAAAAATTTTACAAAGTCAATGAATTATTGATAGCTTACTGTTAAGAAGGGTCACTATATTAAGATGTAAATGCTTTAAAGACTTATATACGTTTATTTGTTCTATTATAATTTTTGATGATTTTATCAACTTGTTATTGAAGTAAAAAGTGATTTTCTGGTTTTGCATAATAACTTCAGATTGCAGTTTTTGTAATAAATCCAATCACTTTTTATCAAAATTACATGATGAAACTACCTAAAAAGTTAACTAAATATTTGTTTTGACCTCTAAATTAATCATTTAAAATTTGCCTAAAGTTTTTCAAAGCAAATTCAAGTTATTGAGGCTTATGTGATTTGCATAATAACTTCAGATAGACTGTGTGTGTCAAGTTTGTAGGATGTATAATAGTATCTAAAATAAAAGTGGAGATGGTGAGACAAAGTGGAAAATCTTTTACATGAAGCATTTCACTGATGTAACATGTGCTGGGTTTGGCTTCAGGTTGAATAAACTCTTTTACTGCTGCCTGCACCCAGTGGTGTAATCATGTTTAGTGATTTAGTCCTCAAAGTCTTAGGATGACATTTTAATCAAGGGCTAACTCTGAACTGGTCAATACTGACACGAGTCCAAGCTGGCTGTTGGTTGCTAGTTGCTTCAATCCGCAGCAACTCTACCCATTGATCTCAGAGCAGTGGAAAATCAAATGTTGTATTAATCAAAGCACTGATTTGAGCTGTGGTGGGTGTTATATCAAAGGCAGAAATATCTTCACAAACAAAAATAAAAAAGAAAGAATTGTTGGGTTAATCTTCAATTGGTTTATATATAGTTCTTGGTACAACAAAAATGAACCCTTCCTGCATCAGTCTCTTATAGTGATACTGTGCCTCATCTAAAATTAGGGTTCAAAGTTCCTCAGATTCAGGAGATCTGGTGGTAGCTGACATGGATTCCAGCAGCACTCAATGCAGGATTTGCAGTGCAAGTCTTCAAGCTCACAAAGTTATCTGCTTATATGCACTTCAGCTCCAAACCAACATGGGTCTGAAGGGTTCTGGAGATTCAGTGATTCCTCAGTTTTTACATTAATCCCACTAAGGGTTCTTTGTTCCCCGTTTCTGTCTTCTTAATCAACTTTTCACACTTGGAAAATTATACACCTTCTTGGAAGTAGATAATGGGATTGCTCCTCCCTTCAAATCCAACTTGCTTCACTTTACATCTCATACCATCACTCCATACAGGTGGTGCCAAATTCTCCCTCTTCCTCCTTCATTCTCCACCCTCTCTCTCTCTATCTTCCAGCTTATATTCCATTTTAAGCTTAACCCTTTCCTGCTCATAATTAACATTTAACCACTTCATGGCTTCAGTGTCACATCTAGAATGAAAAATTAAAATTGTGTGTGTAGGGAAAATTTGTAAGGATTTTTGAGTATAAGAGAAATAAATTATCTTATCAGATCTGATGGCCAGAAACCAGAAAGCATTTTTTTGTTTTATATATATATTTATTTCTAAAGTGAGAAATGGATTTTTTATTTATTAATCTGACAGATTTTTATTACTTAAACATTTTTTGTGGATACTCATATTCGAGTAGACATTCTGTTTATTTATTAAACAGATTGGCCTGAAAATTTGAGAAATCTTATTAGAATTACATGTACTCTCTGGCAGGATTCAAATCTGAGTTCCCCTAGGGGAAACCATCATTAGAGCTGATGTGTTTTGACCTCTTGGCTATGGAGTAAGTTGATGGCCAAGCAAAATCTGAATAGTGCCTTTAAACACATATTTTTCTCCGACTCTCAAAATAGACATATCTGCTCAGTTTCATATCCTACTGCAAACGAAGCAATTTCTCAAGAAAGGAATAGATTTTTTATTTATTAAAGGCATTTGGAGAGACCTGTTGTACAATCTGGTTTGTGCATAATTGGAAAAAATTCACCTTTCAACAAGGCAACAATCCTAAATGCTCTTCTAAGCTATGTCAAAATTACCTTGAATCAAAAAAAGAAACAAAGTTTTGGAAATTATGACTTAGTCGGCTCAATCTCCTGACTTCTCTCCCATTGAATTAGTATGGAATGAATTGAATAAGAGAGCTTGAAAAGCAATATCCAAAGAGTGAGAGTGAGTTTTTCAGTGCTTGAAGAATGCTTGGGAAGATCTGACATCTACTTTTTTCAAAAACTGTTGGAAAGAATGCAAATAATTCATGGTGGTTTTATTGACAAAAACAAAATATGATGCTGTTGTATGATAATTTTTTAGTTAATTGTTTATTTTTTTTGTCTAAATAAAAGCAAATACTCTACAGTTAGTGATATTTTATCTTTTACTTTAAAAAAAATACAAAAGTATATCATTTTAGGTTGTACTTTTTTAAAAGAAATTTAGGGTGGTCCCAAACTTTTTGCCTCTAGTATATATGAGCTGTCGGTGTCTGTTGGATTTTAAATCAGTTCAGTAGTTCTGAGTAGAAATCTGCTTGTTAGAAGCTTTTACACTTTGTCTCATCATCTCGACTTTGGTTTCAGATTCTATTATACTTCTCTATTTCTCTTTCTCATATATATATATATATATATATATAGTTTTAAAATGTGCTATATTTATGTGATAAAGTGCTCAATATCAGAGATAGAGCATATGTAAATATAAAAGTAAACATTGAAGTCAACACTCAGAGGCGACAGGCTGTTTCATGCTGGATGCAATTGTCAGGCGGCCTGACAATTGTGTCTTGCATGAAAAGCAGCTTATCGTCTCTGAGATATATATATATATATATATATATATATATATATATATAATCACCATTCAGATGTACAGTTTGACCACTACTGTATGTTTCATGCCTTTATGCAATCATCAGGCAGTTGGCAAGTGTAATGTGAAAATGGGAGCTTTTATACCCCCAGGAAAGACTAAGATGGGGGTAAAAAAGGTATGGACGGTGTTTGCACACTATGCATAAGCCAAACCAATCTCACCTGGAGGAAGACATACAATTATACCCCACCCAACTAAAAAAAAAAAAATCTCCTCAATGTGTCAAAAAGTGATCAAAGCCACAGACATTCATGGTAGAGCTTACAAACAGAAATAGAAATAAGCAGCTCTTAAAAAAGAGTCTGTTATGTATGCACACCAGAAAGAAAAGTGCTCAACACCATACAATATGATAGAGCTTTTCTAAACAATCATCGTTCAGATGTACACAGTCTAACCACTTTTTATATCTCTCTCTCTCTCTCTCTCTCTATATATATATATATATATATATATATATATATATATAGTTGGATAGATGCGAGTTTGTGACCCTGGGTTTCACGCTTTTAGCGATCATCAGACAAACTGATTAATTTTTTAAAACTTTGGGTTTATGTAGATTGCGTGTATTGGTGTTATTGTGGAAGTGGTGGGGGAAACTTAAATGCGTATGTATAGACACAACACCACCCGTATACATACATATGTCATATCCGAAACTGCCCACATATGTTTATATATGTATGAGTCCCGACGGACGACCAAGTATGTATATGTGTCTGCATACATCGATGTTTGCATTAGTACGATGACAAAACGACGAAGTTTCCACTTCCACAATAACACCAATACACGCAATCTACATAAACCTAAAATTTTAAAAAATTAATCAGTTTGTCTGATGATCGCTAAAGCGTGAAACCCAGGGTCACAAACTCACATCTATCCAACCAAATATGTTAGCTCTATCTCTGATATTGAGCACTTCCTATAAGTACCGCGCATATAATATATAAATAATTATATATATTTATTTATATACACACACTTTTCACACACATATATATATATATATATATATATATATATAGCTTCATGCTATATTGTTTGTTCAAGTGTTATTTTGATTTAGCTATGCGAGTTCTACTGTTAATAATATGTGTGTTTCATTTATTTTGGCCATTATTTGTTACATTTAACAATGTAAACTTAGTCAAAGCATACAGAAATGCTTATGCACTTTTGTTATACTGTTGCTTAATTTTGTTTTTACAAATCCCTTTTCTTTCTTTCTTTAAGGTTAAATGGTGATATCACAGCAATTGCATCTATGACAACCAATCTTTTTGCATTGGCAGCTGAAGTCCCAATATCTTCGTTTTGTTTGCCTAGTAATGTGTTTGTTCTGTCAGGTATGTTTCTTCTTTTTTTTTCTTTCTTCTTTTTTTTTCTTTCTTCTTTTTTTTTCCTTTTTCTTTTTTTTCTTTCTTCTTTTTTTTTTCCTTTTTCTTTTTTTTTCCTTTTTTTTTTTTTTTTTTTTCTTTTTTTTTTTTTTTTTTTTTTTTTTTTTTTTTTTTTTTTTTTTTTTTTTTTTTTTTTTTTTTTTTTTTTTCTTTCTTCCTTTTTTCTTTCTTCCTTTTTTCTTTCTTCCTTTTTTCTTTCTTCCTTTTTTCTTTCTTCCTTTTTTCTTTCTTCCTTTTTTCTTTCTTCCTTTTTTTCTTTCTTCCTTTTTTTTCTTTAATTTTATTTTGGAATGTAGAAAAATAGAAACTGCTTGTAATTTGGTAAAAAAAAAAAAAATATACTTGGATTTTGTGGATCATAAAAATGTGAAAACTGACAAGAGAAAGCAAAACAATTTGGGTGAGGATTATGAAATTAATATATTTTTTTTTACTAAATTTATAAGTAGATGATATCTCGTATTAAATAATGTAAATTTATGTAGCAGTGTTGTGTCAGATTGAACAGTGTTGCATTCTCAATGATAGTATTTCAGATTTCTTGTCATGAGAAAGTTTGTGTGTACTTGTGGTGTCATTTTGGTCAGGGAATTGTTAGGATATGTACAAAAAAAACATTGACTGAAAAATCTTCAGGAAGTAACTTCTAGGAATATAAATTCATCTGAGAAAAGGACTAAATGAAAAATGTCGTGAACTTCAAACATAACTCTCTTATCACCCTAGCTGGATGAGCAAAGCAAACATAAGGGAGATAACTCTTATTTTCCGTATTGACTAAAAACCTTTTTAAAAACATCACGCTCAAAAATGCATTACATATGGAGGAAACTTGATCTTTTTATATATGTGTGTGTTTGTGCGACCACTGCTAAGTTGCTTTCAGCTGTGTGGAATTCAAGTTTTTTCATCAGGTCTGGTTTACCCCCAAATATATAAGATTGTTTTTTTTATCTTTCTTTCCATCAGTGTTACTGTTAATAATAATTAACCTTACATGAATCTGATATCCAGATAAGACAGTCTCCAGTTTTTATATAAAAAAACATTCCAGCTATACACTCTCATAAAGATAGTTTTAATGCTTTATCTTGTAATTGCAAGTTCTCTGTTCAAGATTTTACAAGGAGAATGTGTTACAAATCAGAAAGGAAAGGATTTTCAGTGGTCAAGAATTAATGCAAGTTTTAATAATAATATATGGCTGCTCATATCCGAGTATGCCTGTCTACTATGGTGGCTAGCCACTCACTGTGGCAGTTGCTTACTCAGGTATATTTGTTTTTGTTCAACACCCACAGAGCCCATCTGTGGTTTATATTGCAACTATGCTGAGTGAACCTTAGTTACAGTTTCTGGGAAAGAACACATTATCTGGAGGGATCACAATCTGAACAAGGCCAGTACACTCAAACCCTTGGTTACAATGACTTGTGACTTTGTGCTAGCACAACCATCGATGACTCCTAAATAGTTCCGTCAACCCCTTGATATGGTTTTCAGGCATTTTCCAAAGGTGCCACATGCTAGGATCCTGAGGCGAATGAAGAAAACAGTAACCAGCGAGTAAATTCAAGCTCTCCCAACTGGTATTTCAAACTTGAGTCGTTCCTTCCTGAGTTCTGTCTCCAAATCACACTAACTGCCCGTTCTAGCCGTCAACCGTGAACGTCCCTCGAAGAACTTCGCCCGACTTGGAAAAAAAGTAGTTGTTTTTATAGTTGTTCATGTACCCATAATCCCTTGCGTCTTCCTGTGATCCCATAATTCATTGCGTCCATGTCCCATAATGCATTGCGTCCATGTCCTAATAATGCATTGCATCGTTATTGGATAAAAAATGCGATGCCAGTCCCCCTCATTCTTTTATGTTATCTGGCCGAGGATGGATTACGTCAGAGCGGTAAGTGCTTTTTTCTCTCCCTCATTTCAACTGCAGTAGCTTTACATGCTAAGCAAATACGGGCTCTTTTTGGCGGGGACAAGGCAAGTCGCGACCAGTTGTGCTCGTCCCAGGTTCTGTCTCATGTCCGCCACACTCCCCTGATCTCCGGATCACACAGATGACAGTGAGGATACGGTCTTTTGTTCGGTGCTCCTCCGAAGGGGATTGGTTGAACTTCTTCATCAGAGGAGCTCTCATTAGACCGTCCCGATCTATTGGCAAACTACCGCTATCGGAGTGATTGGTTGTTGAATCAACTCTATGTATATTGGCTGTTCACTATCCTCCGTGTCTTCTTCGTCAGTTGTGGGATTCGAGCCCAAAAAAGGGCGAGGTCTCTAACATGACGAGGCGTTCCATCGACCGCGCGACTGCTGACTCACCACCTCGGTCACACGTCCGGTTCCAAATTTGGTCGTGCATTTACCACGTGGAGTCTTAACCCAGACAATGTCCCCTTCCTTGTATTCCCTTCGGTTATTTGTGATTCAGGCGGGGGCGTCGCGTCGATGCCTCTCACCCGGACGTGGTATGTGTGCAGTACATCAGCCGGTGCCGTGGAAGGTGAAAAGGTTGTCCTTAGGGGTGACGTTATGCCAGTAAACCACTTCAAGACTGAACAATTTTTTCCTGGCGCTATGGTTTTGACGCTTCTGTGGTTGCGTTCCACAATGCCATTTCCAGGCGGCGTAAAAGCGCTTTTGAACCTCAAATTTCACGCCCCAGCTGTTTACAAATTCCTAAATTGTCTGCAAGTGAGCATTGGGTGTCATTGTCAGTCAGTATTTCTGTCGGCGGGCCTCGTTAAGAGAAGACTGTCTCTAGCTGACGAATGACACCAGCAGAGTCTTGCCGTCTCAGTGGCCGCCATACTGCAAATGGGAGGGACCACAGTCAATGGCGTAAGAAAATGGCTACCATTGCAATGGGTTACGTCCATTGCTAACCTGCTCCAGTTTTTTTCTCACACTCAAATTTCCTTTCTTCCAATGCACTGGTGCTGGATCGATCGATTGGCAGGCTTCACAGGTTCTAACGACAGATTTTACCAGTTCTTAGACACCGTTGGATCTACAGTCCTAGCAAAGTACATTGTTCTTTTAACACCTGGGTGCCCACTCTGCTGGTGGATGTGGGTCACCTGACGTTTGCTCAACTGGCTCGTTGCAGTGACACAACTCACTTGCACGGTTCTCCTCCTTTCTTGTGCATCTCCAACCAGCGTTGCGGCACTCTGGTGAGGCTGTCAGCGGCGGTTCTGACAAGATTTCACCAACGTCACAGTCATAGTCAGTGCGTACTCCTCCACCAAAGCTCGCAGTGTCTCTAAGCGCCTCATCAGCATTTCACCCGCTGCCTTCGTGTTCACGGCGTCCTTCCTGTCAGGGTGTCAGACACCCACCGATGCACACATGCTGAATCGGTGACCACAAAGCATAACTGGTGCCTGCCACTGCAGGGCAAGATTCACGCCCTTGATCACCGCATCAAGCTCAGCAAGATTAATGTGTTTGGCATCATTGGTTGGGACGCAACCAGCAAGCATCTTCCACGACGCTCCCATTCACCTCTAGTGCTACTCCCGTGGCCACGGAGCTTGCATCCACCCAAACTGTCATTTCATTGCCGTTCACACCAGTCTCCGCCCGACAGGATCTGATTCCCGCACTCTGGCCACTGTTTTCCTCCAGCATACGTCCAAGAGGGGCATCCTTTATCTCGTCGTCCCATCCTTTGGTTAGTGTGCTTGCATAACGCTTAATAAATGCAGTTGCCACCCTAAAGCCAACCGCACACAGGGGAAATGACCCACAAGTTTCCCGCACAAGGAAAATACGTCGGCCGGGTCACCTTTGAGCAATTTCTGGAACTTGACCTCCCCGCTTCCATCGAAGGGAGTTGCTTTCTTCCCAGACTTGCAGACCCAGGACCTTAGTTCCGTCTCTCAATCGCCCGGATCTTTACAGACTAGCCCGTAATCTGCAAAGTGCTGTCTTACGCGCTGCAGAAACAGGGCCTTCATTTATGAAGATATGGGCGACGTATGCCGGCGTGGCACTCTTAATGTCCTGATCCTGGGACGTTATCATGTCGATCACTGACTTCATGACAAGAGGTGCCACATTCAGGCCAAAACCCAAACGGCGTAAAAAAAAACGCTTGCCCTTAATGACCACTGTTTGAAACGGCCATAGCGATTTGTCAATGTGAATCTGTAGGCACGCATTTCTCAAATCCAACAGCGATACGTCAGCTCCTTTGTCGTCGCCATTCTCGTAATTTCTGGGCACACACCTCTGCGTCAGCCGTGAATGCGTCTACAAAGCCGTTCAACTCCCGATAGTCAAGTACCGGTCGGACCTTCTGTTTGTGTTCTGCCACGACCGCCATTAAGGGAATTAATCCCTTGGGTGGGCCAAGCTCTTTCTCAGGATATGGCAGTAGCCATCCGTCTCGCTGCCACCGTGCTAGTTCTTCATCGTATGCATCCCGGACGTGGCCAGGTACTGTGTACTCCTGTACTTTATTAACCAACTTGCTAGGTGAATAACCACTCGCCCACTTCCACAATGCAGTCCACGTTTTTGTGCTCGGGTTAAACGTCACTCTAAAGTCAGGCTTGTTGATAACAATGGCGGCACATGTGTTCAAGTTTCAAAGCGAGCCGCCTGATTCGGTCAAGTAAACACCTCCGAGCACTTTGATTGCATCAATCCCGAAGAAGATCGAATCCCAGCAACTGCCCTTTCACAACCAGAACCTCAACAGTCACGGGCTGAATATGCTCGACGCCCAACTTAATTTTACCGTATCCACGGCACTTCAGGGTCTTCCGCCGGCAGTCAACACTCCCACCTCTTCCTGCTTCCAGCAGCGACACACAGTCTTGCTCACCAGAGTCTGTGAGCATCCCGAATCCACTAGAGCTGTGCACTCTACTCCATCTACAAATACTTGTACAGTGGGTAGCTTCCGGGTTTTACTTGTTGGGGAGAAGGCTGGCGCTGACGCCTTCTCCCTTGGGCGTTCTGGCATTCTGAGGGAATGTGTCCGATGCCGTTGCATCGAAAACACCCTTTGTCGCGACCAGACCTCTGCGTTCTGTTTGACCTCTCCTGACGTCCTTGTGTACAATTCTTCGCCATATGGTTGGGTCCAGAGCACTTGTAGCAGGTAATCGTTCTGCTAACAGGTTTGGCAGGGGGAACCTCAGCTTCTGAGCGCGTTGGCTCTATGGATGTGGCGGCCAATACCTGGCACCCTTCGTCATCCGTCATAATAGCCCTTGCTCGGGTCAGAATCTGTTCTAGATTCATGTCGTCCATCCTGGAAGAAGCTTTGAGAAGCTGCCTAACATGATGTGGCAGTCCTGACACAAATGCACATGCCATCCACCCGATCAGGTAGCGGTTCTCCTACTAGCCGCGCGTAAACGATGCATTTCAGCCAGGAATTCATCCACAGTTTCCCCTTAAGGCGAAAGGCGTCCCATAAATTGGTCGAACGCATTAAATTTGTCAGTCGGTATGCAGTCATAAGGGCCCGTTTAATTTGTTCCGCGTCTGCCCTCTGCTCTCCACTGAGTTGTCTATATACAGCGAGGGGCACCTCCGAAGTCGTAAAGGCAAGATGCTCGATCTTGTCCATGGCACAAAGTTCGCAGACCAATTCCACATTTTCTATCCATTCAACAATGGGCATATCCGTTGGGGGCGCCGCTGAATTCTGAATCAAGCGGACGTCAAAGACTTTGCCTTCCATTTTTGAAGAATCAATATGCCGAAATAGCTTGAGGCGAATGAAAAAAACAGTAACCAGCGAGTAAATTCAAGCTCTCCCAACTGGTATTTCAAACTTGAGTCGTTCCTTCCTGAGTTCTGTCTCCAAATCACACTAACTGCCCGTTCTAGCTGGTCAACCGTGAACGCCCCTTGAAGAACTTCGCCGACTTGGAAAAAAGTAGTTGTTTTTATAGTTGTTCATGTACCCATAATCCCTTGCGTCTTCCTGTGATCCCATAATTCATTGCGTCCATGTCCCATAATGCATTGCGTCCATGTCCCATAATGCATTGCATCGTTATTGGATAAAAAATGCGATGCCAGTCCCCCCTCATTCTTTTTATGTTATCTGGCCGAGGATGGATTACGCCAGAGCGGTAAGTGCTTTTTTTCTCTCCCTCATTTCAACTGCAGTAGCTTTACATGCTAAGCAAATACGGGCTCTTTTTTGGCGGGGACAAGGCAAGTCGCGACCAGTTGTGCTCGTCCCAGGTTCTGTCTCATGTCCGCCACAGATCCCCTCCCTCATAACATCAAGAAGAAACCTTCTTGGCAAAATGACCATGGTGAGATTCAAACTCTGATCTCATGGTCAGAAAACAGATCTTCTAATCACTTGACAACATGCCCATATAATATATATCTGATGAGGTATTAACATTTTCTTTTGTAATTTTTTATTCTATCTGAATTTCTGGAATGACAATTCATTATTATTTATATTCAGACTTATTCCCCCAATTTTGCTATTTTCGCAACATTTTGACTGTTGTGCTCTTTGACCTTCTTCAGGTATCTGTCAGATTGGGTAACGTTCAAACTGAACCCTTAAGTTAATCTACAAAGGGTAGCTTGTTCTTTCTCCACTGTTCACATCTAGGGATATTTTATCACTACTCAGCCCAGGGAGTGAACATATTTACTAATCATAAATGGAAAAGCTTAATACAAATCATCGTGCACCAAGATTTAAAAAAAAATTTTTTAGTGTATAAAAATAGTGATTTTTGTAAGTATTGTCAACCATAATCAACATTATCAAAAATATACATACTATATTAAATTTAAAGCTGAAATTTCTAAAATTCAATAAAACATTAGTTTACAGAGAATATTTTCCTAAATTTTTAAGATTATTGAATACTTACAAATTATATACAAAAGGCGCTCACATCATTTTCTTAAATTATATTTTACAGATAAAGTCTCCATAGAACAACTTTAGACATATCATCACCTTGTCAAACATGTAAACACGGCTACTGTTTGGTTAAAAAAAATTTCTGCAATATTTTAAACTTAAAATAAATAATATTTATATCAATCAGATTAATTATACTTTAAATCAGATAATATTGCTCAAATAAAATTTCAGAAAATTATATTTTATTTTTGCAATATTTTTAAAACTAAGAACTAACTTGTGTTTACAAATGTTTAAAAAATGAACAACTTTGATGTTACTAAAAAAAAAAATCAATTGGATCATTATAATTTCTGTTTGAAATATACCAGAGTATTTTGCTTACTGAAAATAGTAAATTTAATCCTTTAGCTTTCAATTCATTTTAAAATTTTAAACTTTAGGTATCGTGATTTTTGGGGAGGTATCTATATATACTAAATTCCACTCATTACATTGCACACCAGTTTATAGGTTAATGCTATGGATAGCTGACAAAGAGTGTAGATAAATTATCATTAAATTCCATAATACCATAATTCCCCATGTATAATATGCATTTTTTTCTAAAAACTAATCATCAACATTAGGGGTGCGTATTATGCATCGCTACAAAAATATCTTTAAGAAAATTGCCATTTTATAGGTTGATTTCTGTTGCAAAATGACTACTCACTACAAACATATGACAATTTGGCACTAACATTCGGCGATAACAACCCCATAAGGATGTCAAATACAATCATATATACCTAACAGTACTTACAAATGTAAAATAAAATAAGAATTATCATAAAACTAAATTAGAATAATATAATTCTATGTTTGAAGCCTTTTTTTTTCTTTTTTTTTTTTTAATAAGAGTAGGAAACACTGGTCGTAATGAAATCAATGAGGTACATTTTATCGGATTTGATTACCAAACAATGAGTGTGTATTATGCATGAGTAGAAGCATTTTCCCACACTTTCAGCACATTTTTAGAGGTGTGTATTATGGATGAAAGCATATTATACACGGGGAATTATGGTAGTTGATTGGTTAAAATTTAGATTTCTTAAATACACGCATAGAAAGGAAGCCACGGAAATGTGATCACAATCAAACAAGATCTTTTAGAAAACATTAACATACTGATAACATTAAGCCAAGGATATAAAAATTAGAACAATTTAGTTTAATTTTTAAAATACCTGGAATTTTGATTATAATAAGTAGATAATCTGTAATTCATTTTAGGTAAAAGTATTTGGGACAATAATTGACTGATAACATTATCTATGATTATGATAAACAGCTTCTATTGTATATGTATATACAATAGTGAATCAAGAAGTCTGTAGCTTTACACGGTTATTAGCTGTTGATCTTAAATTTTCATTGTGTAATGTTTTATCTGTGGAGAAATGTTTGGTTAATTATTTTGACAAGGAAAATGATTATGTTGAAAAAGAAATAGTTTCCATTTATAATTTCTTGACCATATGGAAGATTATAAAAGAGGATAAAATGCATATCATTTAACAGCATTTTAATTGGATAAGTATAGTTAATTGAATTTAATTATATTTTCACTTTTAAGAGATATGAATTTTCTTGAATATCAATCTTCTCTTGTACCTGGTCGACATTCCATCTGTTAATTAACTTTCACTGCTGTCAACGTATATATTCATTTTTCAAGGCATACCATTTTACAAAACTTACATTACCTGTTGTTTACTATATATATATATATATATTCAAGATGTTCATCTTTATGAAACATTGCCTGCTGTTGACATATATATATATATATATTTACATTTTCATGACTTTGTGAAATGTCAGTCCCTAGCATTTGTGTTGTAAACTAACTAGTGCTTAGTGCTATTTTCAAATTAGTATAGACATATAGTAACATAAAGTACAGCCTATTTTGAGACATTTTATTATATTGTGTGTTGATTGTGTCATTTAGCTTAGTCTGTATTGCAGAGTACTCAATCAAAGCCAAAATGTTAGCACTCATGAGAAGTCACCGTCAGCATCTTTATAGTTATTTATTTCCAGTCAATAGCAATTTCCAGTTTTTTCCTTAATGAGCCAGCACAGCCAGGCAACAATTAATAATTGTTAGGTAAATGTTTATAGTGCATAGGAAAATATGCTAATGTTTCACTCTATTAATAAGTTCATTCTTCATTGTGTGATACAGAAAGGGGAACAATGAATTAAAACTATTAATAATAATAAACTCTTTTGTGTTTGTTGCAGATTCTTCAAGTTCAAGATTAGGTTCCTCTGACAGTAATGGAAATGAAAACCAAATTATTGAAGTTCCTGAAATGACAAATACACAAAAATTAATGAATTTAAAACAAAATCCAGAGGTAAGACACATGATTTTTTTATCTGAATTTTTTAGATAAAGAATTATCATTCTACACTCAGACTGGTGTCCTTGACTTGGTTGTCATCATCATAACAGCCTAGCTGTTGTACCTCTTCGGCCTTCCGTCCTGGGTATGATGATAAAATACATCCGCATCTAGGGTAAGATGATAAACTACATCCAACAGCAAGGCCTCTGATCAGGAGGTTTTCAAGAGTGTGGAACCACCCCTTAATTGCTGGTGTTCCCAGGTCCACCCTGACCTGGGGTGGTAGCACCTGTTAGGGTCTCAGTTATGGGCAAATAGTTAACCCCTAAACTGAGGTAAAAAACATTATGAAGGCATAAAAATAGGTTTTAATACCAGAAATACTTTGAAAAAAATTATTACCAGAAATAAATTTTTGAAGGAAAAAAAACTATTACCAGCAATATATTTTTGAAAAAATATTGCCGGTGATATGTTTTTGAAAAAAAAATATTACCAGCAATACATTTTTTAAAATAATATTACTAGCGATACATTTTTGAGGAAAAAAAATTTACCAGAAATAGATTTTTGACAAAACAAAATATTCCCAGCAATAAAAATTTTGTCGGCAATAAATAACCCATGGGATTGATATGCCTTAAAACAAACCAAACCCCCTTCGGCCTTCTCCAGGTTTCTGTTGAAGTTGGTAACCATCCAAGATATTAGAACTAATCCATTTATTCAAGTCTTGTGGGTAGATTGTTCCCATTCTGCTGTCCATGCTTAGAAGATAGTACACAAGTTACATACTCTGGTTCTGTGGAAGAGACAAGCAAAATTACAAAATTAGATAAAACTAGCAGTAAAGCCCGGCGTTGCCCGGGGATGTAACAGTAGGAGATAGATCAAGTATCGACCATCATAAAGACTGAAAAATAAAATTGACAAAGATTATTGTTTAAGGTTGACAGACACACATGTCTTAATTAGTATTTTTTTTGGTTTCTTGGGGGTTTTTTATGAATTAGTCAAACCCAAACTCAAAGAAAAACAATGTTTTCAATCGTTATGAGTCTATCAATTGAATAGAATTTTATTATAAACAATTGTCTTGTAAATGGAATTTTTAAAGCATTCTGAATGTAAAAATAAAGAAGAAAGTGTGCAAGACAATAAGAAACACTACCTGCCAAAAAAAAAGTGAAGTTTTGTTGAAATCGGTTGAAAAATGTAGGAAATCCGATCACATATATAAGCGAACACACGCACACACACAAACAACCTGGGTTTTATAATAAGTATAACTCGATATGAGTTGTTTCCCTTTCATTCTGGTGGCAGAATCATGTTTTATCGTTATTTCAAATTGATTTCGTGCAAAAACAATTGTGTTTTTCCAATTTTTGGCACTGTCAGAACCACCGCAAGGTAATTTTACATTGTCCTGTGAAGTTTTGTTGAAATCGGTTGAAAAATGTAGGAAATCTGATCCAATATATAAACGTACAGACACACACACACACAATCTGCGTTTTATAATAAGTAAGATTAATTAATATTAGATATCTGCTAGCATGGCTAGTGGAATGAGAACAATCTAGCCTTATGTATTGAATTAAGGGTTAGGTCTAAAAGTTCTGGAGGTTTACAAACTACGACAGACACCCAAAGAAGCCATAGAGTACAATAGCCAAAACGATGATAACAACCAAGATGAGGTCACTACTTAAAGTAGATCAGTGTATATTATGTGTTGTCTATAATCTTTTGCAGTTTTTTTTTTTTGTTTAATATTTTATATATGATGTGCTACCTAAAAGTTAAAAAAAAAATTCAAGTACAACATGGTTTTGTTAAAGAAAAAAATTAATGCACTTTATTTTCTGCTGGATTGATTTAAATAAATAAAAACTTTAAAATATGTGAAATGTTCAGCAAGACAGTAAACATGATAATTTCACTGATGAATATAGGTATCTCCATTATGTTCACTTATGTGCTAATACCCTTGGGAAAGGTATGAATCCTCTTCTTCTCTCCCCAGCTATGGGTAAATAGCAGGACAGACTGGGTTCTATAAAAATCTGCTTTGTCAGTCACGTATTGAAAGATGTATGATTACCTAAGCATGTATCACGCATGGCCCATAACTGATAAACTTTTTAGTAGCACTATATAAACAACTAAAAAAATTGTTTTGTTGTTACCTTAGTTTGAAATTTAGAAAACTAAAGCTTTTTTTTTGATGATATTGGCTCCAATAATATTTAAATATTTTTAATAACAGGGTATGTTGTTCGTTGCTTTCTCACTTTCATCAGTCAAATATGACAGAGTAGTTAATTCTTCTTAGACAAAATTTTTCTAAATTTTGCAAGTTTTAAGGTAATCAATTTTCAAGTTTTAAACCCATTATACAGCCTCTCTCTGCTATATATATTTTGGTAGGATGATGTTATGATGATATGGTAGAGGCATTTTTGCCCATGAATATCTGATTTTGAAAGCCAGAAACCAAATGTAATAAAATTGCTGAAAAAGGCAAAATATATTGTAAATATTGCAATCATCATTGGAACTAAATTCACCCCTCATTTGCAACATCTCTTGAGTATTCATGAATGTAAAGCTGTTTGTTATTATATAGAAATTCAACCATCTGTTGATGTAAAATGAAAAAAACTAAATTGCTAGTTTCAAATCACACTGCCATTATATGACCACTGCAATGTTGCTCAGGCTGACTCTCCTACAGCCAATTGTATACAACATCAAGTTTATCCAGTCAGATTTGATTGGTTCAACTGAAAAAGGTTAAAGCAACAGATTGAATATGCTGAGCAATCAAATCCAAAAGAAAATAATATTTGTATTGATTTTTTTGTTTGAAGATTGTACCAGTTATTTGTTAGTTACTTGTTAGAATATTGGGAAATTTAGAGAATAACTATCAATCCACTGATTCTCTCAAATACAAATAGTTAAAAAGCAATTATTACAGGTCATTTTTTTTAAATAATAATAATTATTATTATTATTTGGTTCTAGATCTTTTAAAATCCCATCTCTTGTTTATAGTGCTTAAATTGTGAATGCAAGAATCTAAACTTTGTCTGACAATTTTAAAACGTAAATGTTGAAATAAAATCATAAAACAATGTTCTCAAGAGAAAGTGAACCAAATCAAAATATTTTCAAAATCAGAAGCTGATTTTTTGATTAAGAAAATATTTAGCAGAGTTTTTAGATTGACTTTCATCTATTTTTATGTAAGATTTCTTGACTTCAGTGTAGAACATGAATTTATTTTAATGCCACCTTATTGTGCCTTTTTCAGGATTATGTTTCCCGCTGACACGTAGCAAAAAGATTATATTGAATCAGTTGCTAAGGTCTGCTACTAGGGAAGTTGGTTCACTCTGTTGTGTTAGATTCTGGCAAGAAATATTGTCTCTCTTGCAAACTTATAAATCTACCATGCTTTGAATATTGTTGCCACATCTGGTTTGCTGCTTCTGCTATGTATTTAGAGATTCTTGATAAAATATTATTGGTCTTAACCTGTCATTTTAACTTTACTCACTTTCCCACTACTGTAACATAGCTTCCCTGTGCCTTTTCTATAAATACTTTCATTGTAATTGTTCTGAGGAATTTTCCTCTATGGTACCTAGACTTTGTGAATTTAATCATAGTACAATATTGGTAGCTAGGTCTCATCATTTTACAGTTGAAATGGTTAGATGTAATCATAAGTTTTATGTTAACAGTTTCTTCTCTCACACTTCTCATTTGTGGAACACACTTCTGGCTTCTTGCTTTCCACTCAACTCTGATCTTCAAAAATTTAAATGCAACATCAATCATTATCTTCTGTTTAACTTAATTCCTGTTTTTTCATTGTCCTCTCCCCTTAATGTTTTTTTCTCATATCCTCTAACACTCAGTAACCCCTTGTAGCATTATTGCCTTACTTGGAGTGAAATGATTTTAAAAAAGAAAATAAAGCCACATTATTTTTACATTATAAGTCTTCTTGACTTCTGAATCTAATTATTGAGTTTGTGATTTGAGGGTTTTCTAATTAGCCTTTTTTTGCTGTGTTCATCAGCAGGAAAAAGTTAGCTTGTTGTAACCTAGGGAAGGTTACTGATTAGAATAATCAATTGAAGGTTGGTAATGAACGATAATACTTAGGACAAGAACAACACATAAGATTCGCCACATACAAGAAGTAATCAATTGCTAGAAGTGAGTCAAGTGAATTACACAATGAATCTCAAAACTCTAGACCATGTACAGTATTCAATACTGTATTTATGGGAATGAAGGCATACTCATTTTCATCCATAGGTCTGCTACAATACAGCTGAAGAATTTCTTTTAAAGCCATATCATCTTTACTGTATAAGTGTTTTTGTTGTTTTATTTTTTTAACCTATGAGTCCAGTTGAGTTTGTGCTTTGAGTGTTTTCTAATAATAAGCCCCTTCAACTTTTTATGTGTTTAACATGTAAAAGTCTGAAGAAAAATTCTCTTGAAACACTGCAAGAGCTCTTTTTGAAAGTCTTACTACTGGAAATGTGCCTTCTGACAGGAATTGAACCGGTATTCCTTGGAAAATCACTACATCTGGACTGAAGATGGTTTCTCAAGATATACAGGGATTACAGATTTGAGTCCTGTCAGGAAACACATTTTCTGAAGTAAGACTTCTGATCCCTATGCCAGTAGATATTTTCACCTTTAAAAAAAAGTACAGGGTTGTCTATTCAAACACCTGTACCCACTTGTACTTGTAAAGAAAAGAAAAAGAAGAAAACTGTTAGCTTATAGTAGCAACAAACGTCTGCAATAGATTTATTCTCTCGACCGCAACACTTGTAGCCAAATCACAGTTCAAACAATATTCCGTCATAACAGTCCAACAGGCAACATAGAAATGATAAAATGGGGGTCACACAATCAACCGTCACTTCTCACCATCAAAAACACGTGTTCATCCATCAAGCTCAGAAAATCTAATCCTCACAAAAGTGAAAAACAACGGCTTTTGTTCACCAAGTGATCTTTCTGGTTAGTCACGCCATTCAGGGGAGAAGGGAAGAACATTAGCATAGATTCTGGTCCTTAAAGTAGATTTTTGCTAACTACTTTTTGGTAATTTTATTTCGGCAGATCGCACACAAAACAAACTCTTTTTCGAGGTAGCTGATTATCTCTTTCATTACACCACTGGATATAACATTTATAAATTAAGAAATAATGTAATATTAAAAATTACTTGCTTAAAATCTTACTTCAATATTCAGCACTGTAGCATTTGTTCTTGTTGATTTTTACACTGAAAACTTTTTGCCAATACTGTATCTATTCTTTTTGGTCTGTCTACAGCTTCAAGAAAATAATTTATCTCGGCTGGTTATTATCCATGTGAAAGATGACATGAAGGACCTGGAATATGTGACAAATGTTAGCATTAAAGAAATCATTTCACCTGACATACTTCATTATGAGGTGAGTTGCTTTTTTATACCTGACCTTTTAAAATAATGAAACACTAAATGAGATTTACATTGTAGCCAGTTCGATACTAAATCCCTTTTTTATTCTGTGTTTTTTTTGTTTCTTGTATGGCATATTGAGAGTTGGACTATTTTTAAATGCTGCCATAAATACTTTCAAAGAATTAAAATATCTTGCTCAATATTTTAGGATTTTTTTTTTTTCGATTTTCTATTTAGAACACACTGCATCAAATACAGGGTTCTATTTTTCTTTTCAAAAGAAACAAAGCTTACGGCCATATCACATTAAAACACCTGTTCCCATACAATTACCAAAGTTTGGCAACATTGATACTGGTCATTATCTAGATGGGCGACTGCTTGGGAATACCGGGTGATGTAATGGATAACAGCTTGGAATTGTTAATTGGAGAGCAGTTTCAATTCTAGTCGAGTTCGTTATATTCACTTCTGTGCAAATACCAATGGGAAAGGTATGATTCCACCTCTTCTTTCCCCATCTATGGGTTAATTAGTAAGACATGTATTACTAAATCATCATTATCTCACCCCCCAAAAAAATTCTTACAAAATAATGTTTTCTGGTTTTAAATAACTAGTAAAGCATTGATAAGCTGTAGAAAATAAATCCGTCAATCAAAAGGAACAAAATTAAGATACTAAACTCTTCAAATAAAACTGATTTCCATTAACGTTTATCCAAGATATCAAGTGGCAAATTCAAAAATGTAGTTCTCTAAATGATCATATTAATCAAAACTAAAAATGTGATGAGCAGATGCAAAAAAAAACTCCCAAAATTTGGTGAATATTTAAAAACTGGTAGATTTAAAATTAATGATTTGGTCAAAAACATTTTGTAGGGATGGTGCCCTGTTGAGGATAGTTTTCACAAATCACAAAATTGGTTCCTTGTTTTGAAATAAACATAAAAAAAACTGATGCTATAGTATGCATCCTATATAAATTTGAATACATTCACCGTAAAGTTAGTCATTTCTATGAGCATGCAATGATTTGGTTTTTGATAAAAAGTTCTCAATTTTCAAACATTTGTCAAATAATGACCAGCATAAACAAAATTGTAATTTTAATTATTTTTCCATCATTAACAAGACAGACACACCATACAAATTGGCTTTGGGTTGCTGAAGGTGGGGGGGGGGCTTATTTAAATGAACCTGTTAAATCTTAAAATAATTCTGAGGATGTAAAAATAGTTTTAATAATGATAATGACCATATATAAACGTAAACAACTTTTCTTTTTTATTTTTAAGAATTTTGAATTATTCTGTTACAAGTTTGTATTCTCCCTTTTGCAGTTGAGCATAAAATTTAAATCAGTTTAAATCTTTTTGCTGATGAAAGGAATAGAAGTCCTGAAATACACACCAACAGTCAATAAGAATGTTATACTGTTTATCTTTACACACATATATATATATATATATATATATATATATATATATATTTTTTATACTGTTTTTATCTTTACACACACACACATATATATATATATATATATATATATATATATATTTTTTTTTATACTGTTTATCTTTACACACACACACATATATATATATATATATATATATATATATATATTTTTTTATACTATTTATCTTTTTTTTATATATATATATATATATATATATATATATATATATTTTTTTATACTGTTTATCTTTACACACACACATATATATATATATTTATTTTTTTATATGATTTATCTCACACACATATTACATATACTGGATATAACATTTATAAATTAACAAACAATGTATATATATAATATATGCTTATAAAATCTTACTTCAATATTCATATATGTAGCATTTTTTTCTTGTTGTTTATTTTTACACACAAAATATATATATATATATATATATTTTTTTTACTGTTTATCTTTACACACACACATATATACACACACACACACATATATATATATATATATATATATATATATATATTTTTTTTATACTGTTTATCTTTACACACACACACACACATATATATATATATATATATATTTATATTTTTTATATATTTATATATATTTTTTTTTTTATTTTATCTTTACACACACATATATATATATATATATTTTTTATATTGTTTATCTTCTTTACACACACACATATATATATATATTTTTTTTTATACTGTTTATCTTTACACACACATATATATATATATATATATATTTTTTTTTTTATAATATATTTATCTATACACACATATACATTTTTTTATATATATATATATATATATATATATATATTTTTTATATTTATATATTTTTTATAATAACACACACATATATATATATATATATATATTTTTTTATACTGTTTATCTTTACACACACACACACACATATATTTTTTTTTTATATATATATATATATATATATTTTTTTATACTGTTTTATCTTTTACACACACACACACACATATATATATATATATATATATTTTTTTTATATTGTTTATCACACACACACACACACACATATATATATATATATATATATATATATATATATATATATATATATATATATATATATTTTTTTTTTTTTTTTTCAGACTGCAAGAAATGTTTTGGTAATTGGAAGCAATACTCATCCTCGACTTCAACTTTTCACTCTTACCAGTGACAAAGAACTTCTAAAGCTAGCCAATGTGGTAAATGAGATTTTTTTTTTTTCCTTTTCCTTTTTATATACCAGTGCAAACAGAATCAAGTGATAGTATTTACCAATCCATTACAATCCATTATCAAAGTCTTAAAATGAAGCATTGCGTTTCTGCTGTCAACAAAAAAAAAAAAAAAATACTTGGAGACTTTACTATCATCTCAGTCAGTGTCTGCAAAAAAAACCCAGTTTTTTTCTTTTTTTTAATGCTAAAAATTCACCTAACATAAGGCTTGAAAGCTACTCAAGGTAGAGGGTTACTGTTAAAATGGTAATGGTAAGTGAGGTGTTTGACATGAATGAAGGAGGAGGTAGTAGGAAGTGAAGATAATAAGAAGGATAGATAATGATTGACCTTTTACTTTAAGAGACTATGATTGTAGTTTTCTTGGAAGCACCCATACAGCATTAAAAAATATAATCATAATTATATTTTTTTTTTCAAAAAGATAATTATAATTAAGGAAAATAATAATTAAACTGTAACTTAATTCAAATTGTTTAAAATTATCACGTTCTTTTTCTTCTAAAAAGATTAGAAAAATATTTGAAATAAATCTTACCAAGAAAAGTTCTTTTTCTTCTTTCTGTCATCCTTGCAGGATGTTGGGGATCACGGTTCTCCACAATTTCCTGTCCTTTGTAGCTCTTTTGTCTCCTTTCCATCTCTCCTCTGTTGCTCTTGCTTTCAATAGGTCCTCTCATTGTCAATTTTCCCAAACCCTCTTTTCTAGAAATTTCAACTATCTCTTACTAATGTTAAGTTTTTTTTTGTTTTCATTTTCTCTAAAACTTTGTTATGGCTCACATGTTCCATCCATGGTATTCTCAACATCCTTCTGTAGAAACACTTTTCTGTTGCTTCAAGCTGCTTCTTCATCTGTATGGAGATTGTCCATCATTCACTGCCATATAGGAGGACTGATATTACATAACAGCTGAGTACTCTTTTCGTTGTTATTAATGAAATTCTTCTGTTTCTTAATACTCTTCTTAGCTTTTAAAAAGCATCTTTCACTATCCCAATGAATCTTCAGATTTTGATGTTGCACTTTCCATCCTCTGCTTAAACACTTCCTAGATATTTACATTGTTGTACTTGTCTGATTTTGGTATCTAATATTTGTAATTAGCAAAAGGAACAGCCCAACCTGCAAACAACCATGCATTCTATCTTCTTGCAATTGATATTTAATTCTTTCTTTCTTGTTTTCCTTCACTACCTTCTGTAGGAGTTCTTGTTGTTTCCTTTCTGTCTACCACCAACACTGTGTCATTTGCATATCTTACATTGTTAAGTTTGTAGCAACCAATAATAAATCCTGGTAGGACTTTTAATTCTCTCAGAATCACCTTTCTGTGTAGGGTAGATAAGGTCCGTGAGAAGACACATCATTTCTATTTTTGTATATTTACTGAAGTTATTTTCTTTCTGTAAGCAGTCAGTTTCCTATTAAACCCAATACAGCTAATGATCTATAAATTTACCATTAGTTCATTGTATACATCATTTATTTTAAAACTAACCATCACAATATAAAGTGAATATTGAAGTCAACACTTAGAGGCAACAGGCTGTTTCATGCTAGACGCAGTTGTCAGGCCACCCATAAATATAGCACACCTTAAGAGTATATTTCTTTATATATATATATATATATATATATATAAAATTATGGACATGTGTGTGTATAATCATTGATGTGTATGCCTATGGAGCAAAATACACTCTGTTTACTTTATAAAAATTATTTCATACAAAATTAAAAATGTCT